ATAGAACGTATAAGTATATAATCAGGATAGGGAGAGCCCGGAAATGAAGTTTATGCCCTAAAACCAAAAGACAGTTTTGACGTCATTTAGCGTATGGGACACAACCGAGGCTACGCTTGCCAAATTGGTGTGAAATTTATACCTTTTCAAAGCTAAGATAAAGAGCTACAATTTTGAAGAAGGCCACTCAGTCCAGTTTGTAGTGTAGCTAGGTCAAAACTTCAATGTACAAAACCAGAATCTCACCCACAGGTTAGCTAACCGCACTCTGGTTAAATAACAATAACTCAGGCTACCGAAGTCCAATGGAGGCGTTTTCAAGGGTGTTGGAAAGTTAAGACATAGCACTACAACTTTTGTGTTTTGACCAAAGGCTAAATCAGTATCCAACAGGGCGAAAAGATGCAGTCAGATTGGGTGAAATGGCAACACTGTCTACCGAACTACCTATGACAGTCAGGGGTATTTCTATCTTTTCACAGGGTACAAAGATTGGATTAGGCTGAAAATTTACAGACAATTATAAAACATCATTTCCTACAACTTTCATGTTTTAACCTAAGGTTAATTCGGCCTCTAACCTAGCCGAACAGAACCGGGCAGAACAGGGTCATTTGGAAACCCTAAAACCGAAAATCCCTCTAAAATCTGGAAATTTTCACAATAAACCACAATAAGCATATAGAGGCTCCAATTTACTTCATATATAACCATCAATCCATGGCTAGCTATGGTATACAATATAAAACAGAAAAAATCCTCAATAAATAGGAAAATTGGCCAAACCCATCAATAATTCATGAAATACTCCATAAATTTGAATCTTTAGCTACTAACACCTACAAATTCACATTATAACCAACAAAGAGACAATTTCTTAGCCACTCACCTTACAAACACAAGAGACAAGGTAGCTTAGAGTCTTTCCCTTCCAAACAACTCCACCAAGCACTTCAATCCTTCTTAGCAAGTAAGTTTTATGGAGAAACTTGGGAGATTAATGGTTGGATTTCAAGATTTGGGCAAGAAAAGGAAGCAAAAGTTGAAGAGTTCTCTCTCTTTTCTCTCCAAGGTTGGCCGGCCAAGATGAAGAAAATAAGGAGGAATTTTGGGTCAAAATTAAGTTTAGGAAAGGTAAGGTAGACTAGTCAAATGCCATCATCCAATGAAAATGCAACATGTGCCCATTTCAAGCTTATCTCATTTTTTTTGTCTTGCAAGACTTAATTAACTAGCTAACCCCTAATTATCTCATAACACCATGTAATATAATCCTTGTATACAAAGTTTCTCCAAATGAACCACATTTACCGCACTTATCGCACTAGTGGATCCCACATCTACTGTACACCACCTTTAACACAGAAAATAACTTATATGGAAAAAAAATGTAAAAATCATATGTCCTCATAAAAATTCCCAGATTATTCATATAAGAACGAAAATATGGAAATTATACGCAAAAGACTAAAATAAATGCCTAGAAAATAAGAAAATTTCGGGATCTCACAAATAATCTTCTTAACACATTGTCAAATCCACTTTTTACATTTAGAAGATCTATTTCCAATAGGGATATCAATCCCCACATGATAAATCCAAATGTTTGAGAATTAAAGTAAGTCACAAAAATAGAATATTATCTCAAAGTGAAATGGATTATCAAAGACAAAATGCTACAAAGTTAAGCCTTAAACATCAATTGAACACATCTCCTAAAAACCTCATCAATTCAAACAATTCTCAACTTTTGGTAATTTCCCTCAAAGAAATACATAACAATCCGTTAGACAATTTATCATCAATTTGCATAAAAATGAACTTCATTTCTAAAAAAAATGCAAATTATCCAAAGAAACAAGAAATTGTAAGCAAAAAGTAAAATGTGCTTTCATGAGAAAAATTATATAAATCTATCACCATATGAACAAATTTCTCAATTCCAAGCAAACAAGCATTTCTAATGACATATATTAGCACAATGTAACACAATTATAGCATTAAAATCTAACATATATGCATTTCCCAAATTTATAAAAAAAATACAAAAAATTAAGAATTATGAAATGTGCAATGTGAAGGAAAGTTGAAAATTCTTACCTCAAGTGCATAGGATGATGCTAGGGGATGATAATGTTGCAAAAATGAGGAAGAAAACAGTCCAAATTCACCCCGAAATGGAAGAATTTCAGTGCGGCCCTAATTCCCGTTGTGAAGATCAAAACCCACCAAATTGATGTTTTTGATATGAAATTGCTGAGGTTTATGATCACAAGATGTTGGGAAATGTTTTTGAGGCGAAAGATTGGAAGATGAATGGATGAAATGGAAGATTGAAGGAATGAGGGTAGGGTTTCGGTGAGGAAGAAGAGAAGAAAGCTGGAAAATGGCAGAACCGAGGCTTCGGTTTTGCTATATCAGCGAACCGATCCGAGCTCGGATCGTTTCTGTTTTTGTTGGATTCGAGCTCGGATCACCCTTTTGCATTTTTCAAGATCCATGATCCGAACTCGGATCATTACCAATCATGGCTCGGATCCGTCTCACCAGAAAAAACAGACGAGCCCTCGGATCCTTTTGAACAATTTCGGATCCGAGGACGGATCTCCAATTTCACCTTTGAACATCAAGAGGATCTGAGGTCGGATCCGTCTGGGTTGAGTCGGATTCGAGCTCGAATCTATCTATTTCTGCATTAATTGCAGAAACTGCAATTTTTCAAATTTTTTCTCCCTTTTTCGGCCAATACCAAATTACACCTTGGATGAAATTTCTATCAATTCTAACCCTTCATGCAAGTGTAATATACCATAAACACAATATCCAAGTTCTCAAAACACATCAAATACATCTACATTTCAAATCGAGGGGTGAGGTTCTTTGATCATTTTTGCACTTTTACACCAAAATGGCGCTTTTGGGTATGAAATGCACATCAAATGAGTCCATGAGCATTTATAAATATGTTATCACCGAAACTCACTTGAATATACTGGAAATGCAACATACTATACATGAAAGGGAATTTTAAACACTTAAAACAGAATTTGGTAGGAAAACTTCCCTTTTTACTTTTGTTCTTCATGTGCACCTCCTCGATGGAAGTTGAAATGTCGGCACCCCCTACAAATACGTGAAATACATATAATTAGTCAATCAAATAACAACAAAATGTAAGAAACACATAAAAACACACAACTACAATATTATTATTGGGTTGCCTCCTAAAAAGCGCTTTGTTTAGAGTCGTTAAGCTCGACTCTCCTACAGTTTCTTTAACTCTCCATTGTGTTTTCTAAGGAGTAAATCACTCATTTAGGAATCCTTTCTCCGGCCAAATAGAGTTTCAATCTTTGACCATTCACTTTGAATGGGGCACCATTTTCTCCTTTTATTTCCACCACTCCATAAGGAAATGCGCGAACTATTTCAAATGGTCCGGACCATCGAGACTTAAGCTTTCCAGGGAACAATTTCAGTTTTGAGTTAAACAATAACACCTTTTGCCCTTCTTCAAAATGCTTAGAAAGAATATGTTTATCATGCTAATATTTAATCTTTTCTTTATAAATTTTGGCATTTTCATAAGCATGTAGCCGGTGTTCCTCCAATTCACTTAACTCAAGTAGCCTCCTGCTACCTGCAAGATTAAAATCCATGTTAATTGCTTTAATAGCCCAATAAGCTTTGTGTTCAATCTCTACAGGTAAGTGACAAGTTTTTCCATAAACTAAACCATATGGCGACATCCCTAAAGGTATCTTAAATACTGTTCGGTAAGCTCATAGTGCATCATCTAGCCTTGTAGCCCAATTTTTGCGTGATTTAGTCACAATATTCTCCAAAATGAGCTTTATCTCTCTATTAACTAGTTCCACTTGTCCGTTGGCTTGAGGATGGTACGGAAGTGATGTCTTGTGCTTGCAACCATATTTAAACAATAAGGAGTCAAGTTGTTTATTACAAAAATATTTTCCTTCATCACTAACTATAGCCTTTGGGATACCAAATCTGCAAAAAGTGTTCTTTTTAAGAAACTGGAGTACAACCTTAGAGTCATTAGTAGGTGAAGTGATTGCCTCTACCCATTTAGAAACATAATCCACTGCTACTAAGATGTACTTATTATTAAAAGAACTAGAGAATGGTCCCATAAAATCAATACCCCAAACATCAAATAGTTCAACTTCCAAATATGTGGTTAGAGGCATTTCATTCTTTCTAGAGATGTTACAGTTCTTTGGCATTGATCACAACTTTTAACCCAATCTCTAGCATCTCGGTACATAGTAGGCCAGTAAAATCCAAATTGCCATACCTTTGCTACGATTTTAGTTGTACTAAAATGACCTCTCGTTTCAAGTATATGACATTGCATTAAAACACTGTGTATCTCTTCTTTCGGAACACATTTTCTAATTATTCCATCTGCATAATGTTTATAAAAGAATGGTTCCTCTCAAAAATAATGTTTAACATCATTTAAGAATTTTTTTCTTTGGTGGGAATTCAAATCACTTGGTATCACTCCACTAACTACAAAATTAACTAAATCAGCATACCATGGTGACTTTTGAATTGTCATTAAAAACTCATCTGGAAATTCTTTTTTAATGGATGAATGGTCTTCTTGAGACATGTTTTTCAGTCTAGAAAGATGATCAGCGACTAAGTTCTCGGATCCTTTTTTATCTTTGATTTTCAAATCAAATTCCTGCAATAATAAAATCCATCGAATTAGTTGAGGTTATGCATCTTTCTTATTTAAGAAATACTTGAGTGCTGCATGGTCGGTATAAATGATGACTTTAAATCCTACTGAGTAGGATCTAAACTTATCCAATGCAAATATCACTACTAGCAATTCCTTCTCTATTGTTGTATAGTTGACTTGGGATTCATTTAGCATTTTACTTGCATAATAAATGACATGAAGTCGCTTATCATGTTTTTGCCCAAGAACAGATCCAACTGCAAAATCACTCGCATCACACATCAATTCAAATGGCATGCTCCAATCCGGTGATGCTATTATAGGTGCGAAGACAAGTTCCCTTTTCAACCTATTAAAAGCAAATAAGCACTCATCATTAAAATGAAAAGGAACATCTTTTGCAAGTAATTCACATAAAGGTTTAGTAATTTTGGAAAAATCCTTAATAAATCGCCGATAAAATTCCACGTGTCCAAAAAAGTTTCGAATGCCTTTCACATTGGTAGGTGGAGACATTCTCTCAAGAACCTCTATCTTGGCTTGATCTACCTCAATACCTTGTGAAGAAATTTTGTGCTCTAGAACAATACCCTCACAAACCATGAAGTGACATTTTTTCAATTGAGTACAAGGTTTGTTTCTTCACATCTCTGCAAAATTATATCTAAATTGTTAAGACAATGGTCATAAGTAAATCCAAATACGGAAAAGTCATCCATGAAGATTTTCATGATTTTCTCATTAAAATCAGAGAAAATTGCCATTATGCAACGTTGGAAGGTGGCCGGTGCATTGCACAGTCCAAAAGGCATTCTTTGAAATGCAAAAGTGCCGTAAGGATAAGTGAATGTTGTTTTCTCTTGATCTTCCGGTGCAATAACTATTTGATTGTATCCTGAAAAACCATCCAAGAAACAATAAAATTCATATCCAGCCAATCTTTCTACCATTTAATCAAGAAAAGGAAGAGGAAAATGATCCTTTCTAGTAGCTGCATTCAGTTTTCTATAATCAATACAGACTCGCCCCCCAATCACAACTCTAGAGGGAATCATTTCATCATTTTTACCACGTATTATGGTTATCCCCCCTTTCTTTGGCACTACATGAATAGGAGAAATCCAAACATTATCAGAGATTGAAAAAATTATACCTGCATCCAGTCATTTAAGGATTTCTACTCTTACCACTTCTTTCATATTTGGATTTAACCTTCTTTGAGTTTCAACCACCGGTTTAGAGTTTTCTTCCAACAAAATTCTGTGCATACAAATAGTTAGACTAATTCCTTTAATATCAGAAATTGTCCATCCTATAGCCTTTAAATGCTTCCTCAAAACACGTAAAACGTTTTCTAGTTGTTCCTCATCTAATGCAGCATTGACAATCACCGGCAATGTCTCATTTTCTCCAAGGAATGCATATTTGAGGTATTTAGGAAGTGGCTTAACCTCAAGCTGTGGAGCTTGCTCACACGATGGTGGAGGTAGCCCTTTGTTCAACCCTAACTCCTCATACGCATTTCTCCTTTTATAAGAAACCTGTGCCTGCAAAAATTCAGTCAGTTTTTCAACTTGTTCCTCTTGTAAGCCTACACCATTAGGACAAAGTTCAAGAGAATCATCATTAAGATTAATTTGACTCATTTTTAATGCCAATTCATCACATATGTCAACAGAATAAACATGGTCAATAAAAGAAGGATACTTCTCCACTTTACTCAAATCAAACTCCACTTCCTCTTCACCAATTTGAAACTTGAACTTACCACATTTAACATCTATTATTGTACCTGCAGTAGCCAGAAATGGTCTACCAAGTATAATAGGTACATTGACATCTTCCTCCATATCAAAAACAACAAAATCAACAAGAATAATGAATTTCTGCACTTTAATAAGTGCATTCTCTAATATGCCCATTGGATGTCTAATAGACCTGTCAGCCAATTGCAAGGAAATGTTAGTACGTTTTAACTCTTTCAACCCCAATTGCCTAGTCACAGTTAAAAGGATCAATGAAACACTCGCACCAAGGTCACATAGTGCCTTAGAGAATTTTACATTACCGATAGTGCAATGAACTGTGAAACTCCCAGGATCTTTCAACTTTGGTGACAATTTGTTTTGTATGATGGCACTACATTCTTCCGTTAATGCAATTGTTGTCTCACTATCAACTAATCTCCTTTTCTTAGTCATTATTTCCTTGAGAAACTTTGTGTATGAAGGAATTTGCAAAATAGTATCAACAAAAGGAATGTTAATATGTAATTGTTTGAAAATGTTGACAAACTTCTCAAATTCTTTGTCATTTCTCGAAGGCTTCAATCTTTGTGGAAATGGCACCGGTGGAGGAATTTGTGTTGTCTCATCAATTTGTGGCTCCTTTCCTTCCACCTTGTCTTTTCCTTCAATTGACTTGTTATCATCTTCTAACTCACTCAACTGCATCTTTTCTCTTCTTTCATATTTTTTCTCACTTTCAACTACAGGTGGCTCACCTACTTCCTTACCACTACGGAGGGTTATGGCCTTCACATTCTCCCTTAGGTTCACTTCAGTCTTGTTAGGTAATTCTCCTTAGTTGCGATTGTTAACTGCATTAGCTATTTGTCCTAATTGGACCTTAACATTCCTGTACATATTGGTGAGTTAGTCCATCCTTCCCTCAATTCTTTCAAACCGTTGAGTAGTGGTACTAGCTAACTTTTTAATTTTATCATTTGATACATTTGCTGGCTTCTCAATTGCCAATTTCCAAGCTGGTTTGGACTCCGGAAGTGGTTGCTTTGGTTGAAAACCCGGTGGATTAACTGGTCTTTGTTGGTTCCATTGATCCTTCCATCCAAAATTCGGGTGATTACGCCATCTTGGATTGTAGGTATTGGAGTATGGATTATTTTGGGATGGATGGTTGTAATTGTTGAGATATTGAACCTGTTCGCTACTAGAACACATAGAATCATCATGATCTCCACCGCAAGTAGTACAACATGCAACAACTACTCCTTGATTAGAGCTAGAACCAACATGCCTATTAAGCATCTTAACCACATTATCCATCTTTGCACTTAACATATTCAAGGTATGTACTTCAAGCATACCTGCGGTTCTCCTTGAATTACCTCGTTAGTTGGCCCACTGGTAGTTATTAGTTGTCATTTCTTCAATCAATTGTTGAGCTTCCTCGGCTGACTTTCCCATCAATGCTCCTCCCGCTGCCGCATCAACATGCGTCTTTGTTGGATAAGTGAGATCATTGTAAAAAGTTTGCACTATAAGTCAATCTGGTAAACCATGATGAGGACATTTTCGTTGTAATTTCCGATAGTGCTCCCAAGATTCGTACAATGTCTCTCCTTCCTGTTGAGAGAAACTCATTATATCCATTCTAAGTTTAGCAGTTTGTCCAGGTGGAAAGAACTTATTAAGAAAAGCCTTAACTAATTTATTCCAAGTAGTAAAAGTGTTTGGAGGACGAGATTGTAACCAAATCTTGGCCTTGTTCCTTAGCGAAAATGGAAACAATCGAAATTTAATTGCATCATCACTAACACCATTAAACTTAATTGTATCACAGATTTCAAGAAATGTTGACAAGTGAGAATTTGGATCTTCGGTAGCATTACCTCCATATTGAGATTGTTGTACCATTTGAATCAGTAATGGTTTAATCTCGAAATTATTAGCATTTACCGTTGGCCTTGCGATACTAGTTTGAAATCCTTGTGTCCTCGGTAAAGCAAAATCTCGTAGAGCTCGCCTATTTGGTTCATTTTTCGCCATTTCTTCCTCAAACGGTAGCTCTATCAAAATTTCCTCTAGAAGTTGCCAAACCTCTTGTTCCTCTTGTTGTGGTGTATCCCTCCTTTATCTACGTAACATCCTTTCAATTTCTGGATCGAAAGGTGCTACTTCTCGAGATGTTAATAAGAAATATTATGCAACTTTTATTTATCAAAAACTGATTAGAATGTTAAGCTAGCTATAGACAGCTCAACCAAACATAAAGATGTCTAAATTAATAGAAATGATTAGACTCTAATATTGTCGCTCCCCGGCAACGGCGCCAAAAACTTAACGGGATTTTTATATCAATGCAAGTTTAAATCCGATTTTATACCCGTTGACTGCAAGTATACAGGCCGAAATCGTAGTGTAGAGTATGTATCGAGTCGATCCCACGAGGAGCAATTTAAACAAGTACTAAACCCTTATTTTCTCTATTATTTAGACTTTCAATAAATCTGAGCAGTAAGATTATAATGCTATTGTCTACAAATCTGGTTTAGTAAATGCTAAATGCAAATGAAGAAATTTCATTAAAGATAGAATCTAGGGATGTAGATTTCACTTATGGCATAAACAACACAAATGAATAGATTTACCTCTTGTTATTTTTCTTATTTAACCAGGGATTCATTTCCAATATTACCAAATCTCATTCTCATGATGAAATGGCCTAGAGCAATCTAGTTTTTCCTATTTTCATGGTGAAATACTAGTTCTACTCTGTTTTCCTTCATGAAATGCTGGATAATCCACTTAAGTGTACATCTATTTTCACGAACATACAACTCAAGCTCTATTCATATTTTTCCATTGTTACTACCAATTCTCATTGACTAATAACAACTATAAACATGCTATTGGTGATCAAACAACAACAAGTAATTACAACTGCAGAAATAGACAAGTTAATACAAGATATAACAAGTGTAACTCACATTCAATTCATATCATTTAGCCATAAGTTTCATCTACTCCCTAGATAAAGAAGTTTAGCTACTCATGAATGATATAACAATCAAACTCACAAGTTTATTAATGCAAAATATCATAAAGTACAAGTACAAGAAATATAAAAGAAAGCTTAGCCAATTAATGGTGAAACCCTCAAATTTCTGCTATGTTCTTGTGCAAGATGATTACAAGTCAAGTCTCCAAGTGTTTCTTCAAGAACTTCTAGCTTGAGAGAAAAATGTTACAAGATGAAAAACTTTCCTCCGTATATGGTTCTGACCTCCCCCAATGTCTCTGCACAAAAACTGCTCAGGAGCTCCCTTTTTCCAAGTCAAATTCCACCTTTTGATCCCCAAATCTAAACTTTGTTAGGAAAATCAATAACAAAGGTTTTTGACTTGAAAATAAGCCACTTTTCTTGCCCTTTTGTCTTCTGAAGCATGTGCACCGAATTCCCTTGCAACTTATAGCTGGAAAGTAGTATGAAAAGTAAGAAAAACGGCTATGTCACTTGCAGAAGAGAGAGGCAGATCCGAGCCATGGATTCGAGGGGTGCAAATAGATCCGAGACCTTTTTCATATGGATCCGAGTTCGGATCATAGGGCCTCGGATACCAAGCCACGCAAATACAAACGAGGGCTCGGATCTATTTTTGTTCACACGGATCCGAGCTCGGATCCGTGCTGATCAATTTCCAATTTTCCACTTCTTTCCTTTTTCTTCATTTTTGCTCCTAGTATCCTCGTACATTTATCCTCCAGATGGTCCTTACATTTTCTTCATCTCGTGCATGAATTTCATATATCAATATCCTTTACATTATTACAAAATTAACGCGTTAATCCACTCATTTATCAAGTTTGAACACTTAAACAATATTTAATCAATTATTACCAAAAAAGTTCAAATATGGCTTTAATGTTCTTAAAACCTACCAAAAGTTCATGCCAAACTCGTAAAAAATATATGTTAAATATTCACTTATCAAAGACCAAACTCCAGTGAATTAGCCTAGGAACCCTGAAAATGGAGAGGAAAGGACTCTAGAGCATTTTCAAAAGTTTGTTCATCCTAAATTCCTTGGAGGGCCTGATCCAAAGACGGCTGAGCATTGATTGGAGGTTATGGCTAATATTTTTACGGCCTTGAATTATACAGAGGAAAGACAAGTGGCATTTGCTGTCTTTCAGTTTGAGGGACCCGCTCGGACGTGGTGGAATGTTATTAGGGCAAAAATGGGAGAGAGAACATACAGCATGGACTTGGGTAAACCGTATGAGAGAGTTTAATGAGAAATACTTCCCACCTCTGTTCGAAGAGAAGAGAGAGGATGATTTTATTATGTTACATTAGGGAACCTTAAGCGTGGCCGAATATGAAATACAATTCACTAAACTGTCCAAATTTGCTCCTGAATTGGTAGCTACGGAGCAAAGAAGGGTGATGCGATTTGAACAGGTGTTATATGTGGAAATGCAAGAGGGTTTGGCAGCTGCACAAATTAATACATTCACAGAAGCCCTTGGAAAAGCTCAAAAAATTAAAATTGCGAGGGTGCAAGTGAAGGTTTTTCATGTAAGAAAAAAAGAGTACACCTGAGGAAACCTAAGGAAAATGTAACGCCCTCAAAAGTAAGAAGAGCGAACTTTCCGCACTGCCCACCATGGACATTAGAACAATTAGAAGAAGATTCTTCAAGAGGAGTTCAAATAGGAAAAGGGCAACAAGAGAGAATTTCTCGAGAAAATCAAAAAGTGGCTCCTCGCTTGGCTTGTGGATACTGTGGAAAGACAAATCACACTGAAGATGATTGTTGGAGAAAGGGGCGAAAGTGCTTAGTTTGTGGGGGTACCGACCATCAAATTAGCAATTGGCCGAAAAAGCAGCAACGAGGGAATAATGCTCAACAAGGGGATAAAACTAACCCTAGACAAGCTAATGAAAGAGGAAATAGATCAAGAGTGCCAGCACGAGTATACGCTATAGACAAGCAACAGGCTCCGGAATCATCTGAGGCGATGGAAGGTAAAAATTTCAAGGACGAAATTTTCTTAAGGGGGAGAGAGTGTGAGGACCCGAAAATTTCTTTAGAATTTCCTCCCATTTTTGAACAAGTAATTTATATTTCCTTCTATATTTCTTTACTTTACTATTTAACTATTTACGAACCCTAAATTTCATGATGATTTCATTAGTTGAGTCAAGAGTTTTACTTTTACTTTTACTTTTAACATTAGAGTAAGTTAGGGTTTTTGTGCATTTTGGTGATGTGATCGATTGGTGAGGTGTGCGCACTAAATTTGATGGATAAGAGCGGGTATTAAGTAAGAGTAAGTATGTCGTTAAAAAGTGCTAAGAGTAAGTTAGTGAATCATAAATAAAGATTAAAGTATAAGAGAATTAAGGAAATAGACTTGAACCGACGTGCGCCGTTTGTTACCGGATGAGTACACCAATTGACTGATACTTTCTTACCCTAATCTCTTTCTTTTTATTTCATTTAATCTGCCCTAAATTAACCCTTAAGTCAGCCGAAACTATTGACTAATGAAAAGGAAAAGAAAGACAAAATAGTTGGGTGACACTTGTCAACCATCAAAACAAATGTTGACCAAGATTAGTCTTTGTATTTATCTTGAAAAAAATTGAAGAAAAACCATCACTTTCTTGCTCCATGAAGGCCGAACCTTAGAGAGGAAAGGAAGAGAGAAAACTTTCAAGTTTATCTTGATTTTGTGGGGAAATCAACCTTAAACCCTAAATCCATCCATAGAAGGTTGCAACAAGGAAGGAAGAAGCTTGGTGTGGTGTGATTTTGAGGGAAGAAAGCTTTGATTTGCTAGTCTCCATAGGAATTGAAGGTAATATTGGTAAGGAACTACCTTTTCCCTTTAATAGTGCATTCAAGTGGGCATATGACTTGAATATGAAAATTTTGTGGCTGGTTTCATGGATTGTGATGTTGTTGGAATTTTTTAACTTTTATTTATATTTTTCAGCCATGAATTGGGATTTTTAGTTTTGATTTGGATATGAAAGTTGAGATATGAAGAACTCTAGTTTTGATATGAAATTTTAGCATCAAAATAGGATTTTTCAGCTTTAGATGTGAAATTTCAGCCTTGGTAGAGGATTTTCAGCTTAAGTATATGTTGATTATAGCTAGTTTTATGGCTAAAATAAATACTCTATGTATCCTATACCTTGTGAATTTGATTTGTGGCTGTCTTATGGTGTTGAGTGGGCTGATTTGAGAAGAAAATGTAGCTTTGAAATGGTTGGAAAAATTGGTAAACACAAAGGAAGTGCTGCTGAAATT